CATCTGTGAAATCTTGCTGGTGTGTGCCACTTTCTCTGATATGGTGAAGCTCAGCACAAACCTAGAAAACCACAAACAGCACCAGTAAGTGTATAACCAACAATGGGTGTAGAAAAGAGAAAGCCGAGTCTGTGTCCTGTTATGTGAGGACACATCACACAACTTGCTCTTCAACTGAATAGAAGTTACCTTAAGTGTTGAGGCTCACTCTTTTGTATTCAGCATCCAGCTCAGCCTGCAATTAAAGAAAGTTTGTAAAGGTTTACTACAAGTTTGTAGATTGCTTTTGTAAATTTTATATATTGCAAAATTCATGTATGTGTATTAGCTTTAACCTAATTTTGGATTAATACTCTTAGCAGCTAGTTGCTTAAAAACAGACCAAATAAAAATCACATTTACCAGGGCATTTCCCAAAAAAAAGCATTGTATGGCTAAGATGATCGTAGAAACATTAGAACCAAATGGTCTCAACAATCGACTTAACGTTAGCTCACGATGCTTTTCAGAAACGCAGCCCTAAACATTGCCGTTAAAAGCAGTGACATTCAAAACGTACGTTAGGACTGCGTTTACTGAAAAAATGCCGGCTAACGTTAATTTTAGTGCCCTTTTTTGACGTTAACATTATACTATAAGCAGTGACGCTAAAATAGCATTCAAAATGAGCATTCAAAAGCACTAGGGAAATGCCGCGCTTTACAGCGCTGTGTAAAAACAGCGTTCCCAAAAATGAAAACATTCCTGAATCATGATATTCTTACAACACTCAAAAAGCAAATAAGAAATTGTCACAGTTGTTTTGATTTACTTAAAAGTTGTTTCATTAAGTTTGCTCCGGTCGCTTGCGATTATCCGCCATGTTGAATGGATTCTTCTGAACGTCGGTTAGAGCAACGAGGTGACATCACTTTACGCCACTCAGTAAACTTAAAAATATTAATTTAAATATAAAAGTTTACTCAAAACTGTTGAGCCACACAAAAATAAAACTAAATTCCTCATTCAGAAAATGTAATTGTTATAAGTTGCATCCGAAATTATGATTCACCATGGCAACAGTTGCCAAAAAGACTTCCGCATACTACGAAATATGTAACTTTAATTCTAAATTAATGTTTTCAGAGGTGAAAACTGGCAGAAAGGTAATTTATTGAACTAATATTCATTTTCATGGTATCCCACAGGCAAAAAAAAAGAAAAGAAAAGAAAAAAAAAATGTGGCAGCAGAAAAAAATTAAACAAAAACAATTAAATCAGGTAAAGCTTCAAGCGTGAAATGGGTGTAGGCTAACGTTACATGACTTTAAAAATATTTGACATTCAATAAATATCATTCAGTGTATGTATATTTCAATGTGCAGCAGCTTTTCCCACATAGTCTAATGCTTTTTCACATAAATAAATGTTCTCTAATCCAACATGCTACATTTCATAATTAGGGTAATGAAAAACATTTAACTTCTATTCAGTAGCCAACAGCAAGAAGGCAGAGACTCGTAAAATGGGAGGAGAACCTGCACCAGCACAACTGACAGATGAAGTGGAGATGGCCACAATACCAATATTAAAATCCAACATGGAAAATAATAATTTGTTGCTTTTGTATGTAAGTTAATAGCATTGTTCAGGTTTACAGTGCATGTTAGGGTGGAAGAACGGGCCTGTGGTGACATAAACGTGCTGTCTTGTCAAGACTGGATCCGCCACACCAGAGGGGTTTGTTTCCCACTGCCTGCCTGCCACTGCGAGATGAAGTCCTCTGATTCCAAATATAAATATATATATATATATATATATATAGATTTCTTAATTAGGGTAATGAAAAACATTTGACTTCTATTTAGAAGCCAACAGCAAGAAGGCAGAGACTCGTAAAATGGGAGGAGAACCTGCACCAGCACAACTGACAGATGAAGTGGAGATGGCCACAATACCAATATTAAAATCCAACATGGAAAATAATAATTTGTTGCTTTTGTATTTGTAGAGCATAAAGATGACCAAATAAACTGAGTAATTTGTGTTTATTTAACAGCTGTGGTGGTGGTTTCGGCATATATCTTGCACTACCCTTCCATCTGGCATCCATCATTTTCGGAAGGTGCGATGGTGAGAATATGTGTAATCAATGCATCCAACCACACTGGAAATCCTAAAGGAAATTCTAATTATTAGGTTATTTAGAGGTCGCAACAAGATGTTATCAAGTGAACG